TTGTATATCAAAGATTTTGTTAAGCAATTCTAACAGTCGAATTAAGTTTATCAGAGTTTTATCGAAATCGTTTAGATTGTTACGAAAATAGAGCAAAATCCATAGTTCGATTCCAAATAGTCAAACGATCCTAAATTTTTTATAGAAGGGAGAGTGAAACTGATAAAAGAGAGGGCACATGTAACATCGTTATTATCGAGATTGTCAATTAAATTGTCAGTCTGGAAAATCCGCTCGATCGATCAGCTAATTGATAAATGCAGAGATTACGTTAATACAAATACGTGCGATAAATAAGTATTTTACATCAAGCATTATACAGTCCACCAAATCACATAACCTATAGCAGAGACAGCAAATAAAATGGGTTTGATTTTTGTGACTGAACTTGAAAAAGTGTACACTTTTGGAACTTAAAGTGAAAGGTATACATATTTATTATTTGGCGAAGGCGAGAAGGAGAGTTTGGTGCAGAGTCTAGTAGGAATAAAAACAGATCTAACGATTGACTTACGTTACGATACACCGAGACGTAAATGATATCATCAAGGAAGTGCCGTCTGTCGCGAATCGACGCCATCCCCTCCCTGTGCTTCCCTTTAATCAACTCTCATATTCCCGGCATTTGATCACACTGTTACACCCATACCGACTACAAGCCCAAGTGGTTCAATGCAGCTTATGTTTATACCATATACTTTATGTAAACTGATGATATGTCTGAATTGTGAACGCTCTCATTACGACATCTACACGACATTTTGGAAACGCATGTATTGATCGTGGCATCCTTTCCGCCAGAATTAGGTCGGTACATCTCTAGCCCGCTTCTTCTTGTATTGTTTCATGAATTAACATAGATATTTATCATTATGATGATTACAGAGATATATAATGCCATTGATAATCGGCATTACGGAAATTTTTTTAAATACTTGTAAAAAATATCCTATTTTTGTTTAACGTAATATTTTGAATGATACAAATAATCGATAACAAGTACAATATTTTATAATTTTTACAAATATATATAGTCCTATTTAATTATATTACATCATATTATTATTAATAATTGCAATTAACGATTATTATTATTTATTATTAAAAAATATAATTATAATGAGTTTGACTCTTGGGAATTAGCGCTAATGCTCTCGTATTTAATTAATAATTTGTATTTAATTAACAATACAACGGATTATTAATTAAATACGAGAGATATACAATTTAATAATATTAAAGTTTATCGTAGTATTAGCGCTAATTCGCAAGAGTCAAACTTATTACAATTATATTTTTTATATCAGAGAATTAAGATTTTCATTCGTTATTCATATATCACTATATATTTTTATAAAACATATTTGTTATATGTTTAATAATAAAAATTCTATCTGACAAGACATAAATTATTCGCTGACAGACATTTTTGCCTATGTTCTTATTCGCAAATGCCTAGCAAAAAATAAAAAGTATCATTTTACTATGTATGCAATATTATTCATGAAATTAATCAATATACTTCTTTAAAAAAAAATACAAATCTCTTCTGCCCAATTTAAAAGTAAAATAAAATTACCAGACATTAATTTGAAAAATTATGTTCTACAACAAAAACATTCTACAATTAGATGAAAGAAAATTTATAATGCTGTTATCAGTAATGCCATTAAAAATGCAGTATTAATTCGAGTCGTAATTAAAAATGTACATTTATATCCAAATATAACAGAAAAAGATTTAATAGAAACTAATGTAAATTTAGCCATAAGACTATAGACGCACACCGGTCGCTTACGATAGCGGATAGAATAATGATACTTGACGACAGAGCAAGGATAGAAATATTTATCTTAATTACATTTATTACAGCAATAACATTATATACATATTGTGCAGTTGCAATCTACATGTATAAAATTCGCGAATGAGCGAGCTATTATCACAGAAAACCGAGCGTTCTTTCCTCCATCTTTCTAATTGTGGGTGATGGTCGATCGTTGTATATCGCTCGAATGACGAGCATGATTCATCATCGATTCCACGCGATTCGCTGTCTCCCGTACTACGTCCGATATTTCATCCGGTAAATGATCCAGCGTCGGGATATGCGCCGACAGTCTCTTGTAGACAGAATCTCTGCTGCCATCCTTCTTGTGTCGCCTTTGCTCCTCGTACTTGAGCTGCTGCTTGAAGAATATAGCGTTCTTAATGAACTCTAGGGTATTCTCGAAGCTCTTTCCAGCACCCTGCATCGTTCGGATGGCACTGACCGCGTACTCCACGTCGTAGCATCTACCTAGCAATTGTTGTTGTAGCGCCAGCACCTCTACTCGTTTCTCCACCATTGGTGGCAGAGCTTTTCTCACATGCTCCTGCAGCCTGTAAAATGCGAGCGATGGCTCGTTCGCGACGATGTGCATGTTCTCTGATATGCGTTCCGTTGCTACAATAATGAGATTTCATTATGCGAATCAATTTTTATATTCTATCCTTTCATATATCAATGTTAACATATACATACCGATCCCTATTGAATTTTTAAAAGCTAATCGGAAACCTAATAGAACTAGTCTATAAGTCAACTTATGATATCAAGCAAATATTCAAAATGATATAAATTAACACTCAATTCACAATTCAAAATATAGGCGTAATTGTAAATAATTTTAAATTTATGTTTATAAAAATTGACCAACCACACAATTGAAATTTGTCAATCACAGTAGAGATCATAATGTAAACAACATGTAAGCAATATGTTTTTCTTTCCTGCTTTCCTCTTATTGTTTAAGTTTTTCTGTGTGCCATAGCTCTTACAACAATAACTACTTACAACTATGCTTATTGTAGAACAGGCTTAAAAATAAGATACCAAGTCGCTAACATTATTAACCTTTCTTAACTTTTGTTTCCAACTCCTGATCAGGTTGATATACTTTCGCAGCCATCGTTTGGAATATCACATCAGGTAATCGAAATCTCGCAGTTTTAAGTGCCACTTCAATGTCGATTCGACATATTGAGATGTAAATAGTAGCTCTAATCATGCAGTTCTTGACGCATATAAACGAAATATGTCAGGCTCGTTGTCGCATTCCTTTAAATTGAATATTTGTTTCTTTCTTTTGGATGTTTGTTTCTTTTGAGACGGTCTTCTATCTTCTCTATATATCTTTCTCTTTCTTTTTATAAGATTCTTCTAAATTCGAATAAACATGTATGATCGAAGTGATGAAATCACTTTATTTTTTCATTCCGCGCATAACAATCGAGTGAACTGTCACAATCAGCTGATCGTCAACAATGTTCTACACTTGTATCTATTGCACTTGCACTTTACATAGATAATTTCTCTTATTTGCAAGAATCAAGAGTGAGGAGCGTCGGCATTCTTTTTGTTGTAAGAAAAAATTGTAATAAGAAAATTTTATACAACATCTTGTATGTATCTACTCGACACTGGAAATATTTTGTAATTGGATTTAATAATTAATTAGAACACCCTTTTGTCCCAATTTCGATGAAATTTTGCTCATTCCGGATTTATTAAAATAAAATTACAATCAATGTTACAGAGTTTAGAAATTTTGTTAAGAAGTTCTCATGAAAATTGTTGATTTTTTTTCTATTTCTGCTAATGTCTTTCTTATAATGTCGATTTTGCGAATTATTGGCAGTTATTTAATTAAAAATGAAATTATTCGAGTTTGTGGCGAACGCGTTCATATCGTTCATACAAAAGGTGCGCCACCCATCGCCATTTTAGCGTTTACAGCGCGTACCGGAAGTAACGATGTGTACACGGACTTATCATTCCGTGTCCAGAAACGTGGCAGCATACAGGGCGCCGTTGGCACTTCTCTGGTTCTCTCGGGTATATTCTGTTCCGGTACTGGATCAGGTTTTGAGTGCTCCTGTTATACGCGTATCACGTATGGCGCGATTGGCACTGAACGCACTGAGCGAGTGAAACGGAAGACTATTTGCGTTTTGAGACAGCGACAATAACCAGTCTTTGAACGTTTTTACAAAGAAAAACGTAAGTTTCATTTTTTCATTCTCAAACACTCGCGAGGATAAAATTCAAGAATTGTTCTCAAGAGGAGACAACAGGTCGAGTCTTAGTGGCACATTACAGGTGTTCTCGAATTTCTGCCCGAAATGGCATAATTATGACCGTGATAGTAAACGAGATAATTGTTCGACACACAATCCTTGAGATATTATACAAATTTCACACCAATTTCGCTACTTTTGAATGTTAAAATTGTACTCGATGACAGAGTCGTCAAGACGCATATAAATGGATAAATTAATGTAAAGTTGACATAAAGTATCATGATGTATGAACTAAGCAACTTACATTGGTGAATTTACGTATGTTAATAGCGTTTTACAATGAAAATTGATAACAAGTGGCTAAAAAGATCTCTTAATCTTATAGAATGAAGTGGCACATCTTATTCATAGCACTCACTGTGTTATGCGCAACTATATATGCAGAGGAGGAAGAAGAAGCTGCTAGATTATTAGTTTCCAAACAGATACTCAACAAATACCTGGTAGAAAATATGGACATAGTTATTAAGGTAATAAAAAAGGAGAATTTCTCCCATGTTCGAGATGCTTCTGATATCTATGTAAAGTAAAATAAAGTATATCTTTTTAGATCTGTTTGGGTTGCTTACACTTTTTGTATTTAGTATTCTTTTGCTTTCTTTTTCTTCAAAGCTCGAATATATATTTATCTTATTTTAGGTACAAAATAACGCAAACGGATCTATTAAAACATTCTTTTAAAATGTTGCGTTTAGTAGAATATTATTTTGCAATTGTTACAAGTTTTTTTCATTGGGAGACAGAACCATTCTAGATCTACACATAATAATATAATCCAATCAATGTAAAGAAAATTTCCAACAGTAAATAAACATTCTGCTGAACGTGACTAATGATCAACGGACGTTTTCTAAACCAAAATATTACTTAATCTGCATTAAAATTTGTAGTATACTATTTATAATACTGGCAACGTGGCAGCGTTAGAGGTCGAGATTACGGACAATTCGTTCCATCCAGATCATTTCACTCACGTGAGCGGCGAGTTGAACGCTAGAATCGATCGCGTGCCACCCTATACCAATGTAAGCCATACTGTGGTAGTGAGGCCACGCAAATTTGGATATTTCAACTTTACTTCAGCCGAAGTTCTCTATCGTCGCAAGGAAGATGCCCCCAGATTACAAGTGGCTGTGAGCAGCGAACCTGGCGAAGGACTTATTGTGGCATACAGGGACTATGACAAACAGTTTTCATCTCATGTGGTAAATATGAACACATATATTTATATAATCATATAAATATTGTTTGTAATAGAGTTACAAGATAGATATTGGAGAAAAAAGAGAGTAACTTTATAACTTCACAAATTTTAGAAATGTAATCTCATATGTAATAACATGAAAAATAAATATTGTAGAGTCTTGTATATCATTGTGTTATATAATGTACTATTTACACATTTTTATTTTCTATTTCTCAATTTATACAACGATAATTAATCTAATTTTGTTTTTGCCAAGTAAGATTATTACAAATTATTTTATTTTTATCATATATAATGTACGTTACATTGTTACTTTATAACAAAATTACAATAATTATTGCCTAAGATCTTGGTTGAAAATTAAGTATCGATATACTATCTTAATCTATATATACATATATATATAT